TTTTTTTTCCTTGCCTTTTTTTTTTTTTTTTTCCCCCAGATAGTTTCTATGCAGAATGGGAAACCTAACAAACAGACACTGAGAAGACTTTTATTGTGGATGTGGTTCCTCATAGGGATTATATTTCAGATATTGAGTGATTCCATTTCCCTTTTTGAAGCAAATTCCTTCATTGGAATACATTTTTCATGATGCCTCTGTAATTGTGCAATTCCTATGGTGCATTAAAATGGCACAAGAAAAAAAGATCCTTCAGAAATCTTGTTAGGAAATACAGTATGAAGACAAAATGAAGGAGAGAGTGTACTTGAATTACAGGTCTTGTAAAATGTCATAACAGAATTTATGGTTCAGTAATTTTAAATCCTTGAATTTTAAGTAAAAATAATGAGGCTTTGGCATTTTTTAATGTTCTCCTAACTCTCTCCTCCCCACTGCTTCCCCCTCCCCCCCCAAATAAAAAAAATGCTGTCATCAAGAACTGATTACAAGCAAAACTATAGTATGCAAAAAAATCTACTAGAATGCATCCTGAAACAGGAAAGAGAACTTCTCCCCCACCCATTCCAAGTGGATATCTGTAAAGATTTATTTCCTATGTAGATCCAATGGTAATTTAGGATGATAAATCTTTCAGAGAACTCTCTGCAGACCTAGTGAAAATGTATGCCTGAAGCTAATTTTCTCCAACAGTCTGGCTTTTCCCTTTCCAGTTATATTGGCTTCTGAGTTGTCCAGTCCTTTGTTTTCCAGTGAACATAAAAGGGATTTTGCTTTTCAGAAAAGAAACAGGGCTTTATTTGTCATAGTATCCATGAAAATGGTCCTGTCAAGGGGTTCCTGTAAGTATTCATACATACAGAGGAACACATCCATAGAACTTCTTCTTTCAGTTAAAACGGAAAAGGAATTTTAACATACATATGAAAACAGTTTGGAAGAGAACAACAAAAAATATTGTTTCCCAGGTATAAGCTATACCTAAAACATTTGTAGCAGAAATGCAGAGTAAAAGTCTGAACCAGTGATTGAGAATCTGGTAGGAAGGCAGAACCAATCCAGAAGAGCTCAGGTGCATACAATGTACCTGAATGACTGGAAGGGGTGGAAGCCAGGATCCACCCCTTCCCAGACTTCATTTAAGGGTTGGAAGGGTTGGCAAAGGAAGCAAAGGAATCTTGCTGGAGGCCTCTGTCTACCTTAGGTCTCCTGAAGGTGAATAGCTTCTCCTCCTTCCTCTCCCCCTCTTTTGTTTCTGCATCCATAGCTGCTGCACTTGTTTTTTTTCTTCACTTTCTGCATCTTGGGGCTCTGTTAACATTGCTGTGTTTTCCATCACATTACAGCATTGCACCATTCTAATCATGGTTATCTAACCTGCTCATAGGAATCAATCTAGATTCCAGAATCAATCTAGATTCCATTATCTCTTTAATTAGTGCCACAAAGCTTACAGTTAGTACGTTCTTTCTTGCTCATTATTTATTCTTCATAGTGTGGAGAAGAGATAATTCCATTCCTTTTCTAGATTCCTGCTTGTCCAAAAGTTTCTGCAGTGTGTTTACTTCTTCAATATGTTTTCTTGTTTCAGGTGAGGAGATTTATCTAGACATGGTATTGTATTTGCAACAATATTCCAGTTTAGAATAGACTATCAACTCAGTGCATCCTAGCTGACACTTTTTCAACATATGTATTTTTTTGTCTAACATAACTTGCTCAAGATGAATATTCCTACAAAGTACAGAATTTGTCCTTGCTTCATCATATTCATCGTATCTTACTTTTTAAGGCCATTAATTAGCCTGATTGATTTTTAGAATGCTTTATTTGCCTGCTTTCTGTCTCACACTGTATTTAGTGAACTATTTACTGTCATAAGCTATGGAATTGAGAACCCAGGTCCAGAAAAAGAGTTGTGTCGATTGATATAATAAAATATCAGCCAGTTGCAAACTCAGTTTTGCTTCAACCTAAGTCATGAAAAGTCATACCACTTTCATCTAAATGGAACATGGGTCTTGGTATGATGAGTTGACCTACGTTTTAGTTATGCTGGTTGTGACTTTGAAAATAATAAAGAAGATGAATATGTTCTAAATACTCCTTTTCTCCTGCCTCCCCATCCTCCACTCATCTTTTTCCCTATTATCCTACAGAGGAATAAGTGAACACTGCCAAAACAGCAAAATGATTGAAAAAATAAGCAGTAGGAAAGTAAAAAGCACATCTTATATGACTTAGGTTGTGTATATTTTGGAAGATAAATGAAGTCTGATTTGGGTGTCTGTTTTTCTGGTCTAGGGTAATATAGTCAAAATCTGATCTCTACCTATGAGTATGTTTCCTATTTAATTTCTTTGTTACCTAAAATACCTTATGGAGTATTTTTTTTACTACATTCCATTTTTACATTCCTTTCGGCTCTTTCAATCTTTATCTAAATAGGATAGCACATCAGGCAAGCCAGCAGAGCGACTCAGCATTGCAAGAAAACTTGCATCGTTCTCATAGCTTCTCTAACAAGGGTACAGTGAACTCTTAAAAACAACATTTGCCATGGCAATGTACAAATATCTCATAGTGGAAAATGCTCTAAGCAAGGAAATACTGTGGTAAAATCAATAGCCCGGAACATTATTATGCTTTCTAACGGCACCCACTGTTGAAGCAGGGGGCACATATAGATATTTCCACATTTCTTATGTCCTATTCATGACTATAGGAATCAAATTACATATGGGCTTGCAACAAAGACAGATTTATTTCTTAGCCTGTAAGCTCTTCTGAATTAAAAATTTGTATTGGTCCTGGTATCTGACCCAAATCCTATTCAAATCAGACATGATCTTCCCTCCTCCTCAATCAGCTCCAAGACAAGTCTGTAAGGGAAACTGAGCAGTATGTTTCATTCACTTCTGGTTTTAGTCCTGTCCTCCTCAGGACTTGCAAAAGGAGCAGGACCACACCGCTGTGGCCAGACCTCTGTGAGGTAGGGAGATGCCCTGGAGGACCACACTCCCCAGCAGATGTTGTCTCACACCTGCTGAGGCTGGGAGTGTTTTAGCTTATAAGAGGGATACAATGAACACTTTGAACATCCTTCCAAACTGGACAAGTAAAACTGATGTGTTTTGCTTTTGGTGAATCACAGCAAACTTCTGTATGTTCCAGTCATCATATATCAGGAATGTCAGTGTCCTGGCATGCTGGGCTGCAGCAACCACCATGCAATGTAGTCTGTTTTAATGACTCCTCTTAGTCTGTCAGAGCCATTGTGCAAATAATACAGAAGTTAAGCTACAGAGCTATTAATTTTCTTTTAGATTTTGTAAAAGAAAACTGGTATATGCACGAGTTAGATCATGCAAATTCCTAAAAAGAAGTCATCTTTTTGTTTCAGGGTGTCACACTTAAAACTAGTTGTAGTTTCAGAATATTACGTTTTAGAATTTTTCCTACATCTGAAACAATAATTCTGGTTTTATCTTACACCTGAAGAAGTAGAAAATTGCTCCATATAATTAATTCATGCCCCATTGCATGAGATAAAGTAGACATTTGTCTCTAAAAGGGGGAAATGTTTGAAATGTACCTCTATGGCTTTTACCACTTCTATGGCATTGTGATCTCTAAGAACTGAGGTCATATATGACACACAAAATATACTTTGCCAACATCATGTATATGTTAGGATTATCCTTTCAGATTTCTTATTCATGGATTTTGCTTGTAACATTTTTTAAGTACCATGAAGCCTGTGTATTTGTAAGTATTCTTTTGTTAAATATGTGCATGAGAAACTGAACATATTGTAAGTGGATAACAATAATGAACCTTTGCATAGCTCAAATATTTAGCATGTGGCCAAATAATTTAACACATAGGCAGATAATGACCCTAGTTACAAATAAACTTGCTTTTGACTTCAAGAACATTATGGAATCATTACTGTGGAGAAAATTTGGGTATGTTTTTTGTTTTATGCTTAAATGCATTTTGGAAGCAGCTTTTTAGACTACCAGTCAAAGGTGAGGAAAAAGGGGAAACTATTAGTTAAAAAGGATGCCATTGATTAATTTTTTTTCCCACTTGGATTTTTGTCCTTTTCATACTGTATTATTTGTAAGCTTGCCTAAAGTACTTTATGCAAGATTCAGAGGGGAAAAAAAGATACTCTGTATAGTATTTAAATAATTGAATGCTGTCAGAAAGGTGGGCTTTTGATGAGTCTGCAGTTTTGTATTGAAAATCAAATATATTGTAAGCATAGGGAAACACAACTCAGTGCCCTGAGAAGGTCTGGTGTCATGGTCAACATTCAAAATTTGCATGAGAGGTTATTCAAAAGAGAGGTAGCAGACTTCCCTATTATATTAACATGGTAATGCAATTCTTTGTGTCTATTATCCTGATCCACATCAGCTCTGGTATGCACAGAGTCTGGTTTTTATGAGCTATATGCTTTTATGCAGAGATATTTTATTAACCCAATTAAGAATTTTATAAAAGTAAATTATATTTATGTTTGTGTCTCCTATTTGCATTCATTAGGGAACCCAGACCACCTCCGGTGACTTCACAGAGGGCTGGTCAGGTCCCATCTGTGTAAATCTTGTGAGTTGTCATAGACTCATTGCATTTGATTTACATGTGAAACCTGCGGACTGAGCACAAATGCTAACCAGACAGCTGATAAATAACACAATACCGAAGCAACACTTCTGCATTTCTTTAACTCCTTTTTTTATATGGATCTCCAAATGTTTTTCAGACCTTAATGAATTAACCTTTGTGGTATTACAGCAATCATAACCAAATTATTATTGCTTGTATGTCTTACTAGGTTTAATAATTTGCTGCTTTCTAATAGGATAAGACTCACTGTGCAAGTTTACTTAAATTCAAAACCAGAAGCTGGTCCTGTCCCAGGGATCTCACAGCTTAAAGGCCTGACTGGTAATTTTCACAGCTTGACAGAGGGAGTCTTTTAAACTTACCACCCATCTGCTGAGACATGTCCATGTAGATCTGATGCATGTGAAAAACAAACAAGTTCAAACTACCCAGGAAGTGGCTTAAATCCACTGTGAGCTTGTTTTCAGGCAACTACTTTCGTTTCACATTTGCTTGAAGCACGTATGCAGGCAGTTATCAAGGCTCAGCTGAGGGCTGTACCTCAGCTGCTTGTGGCTGGCCTACTCATACCCTCAGTCTTGTGCAGCTTCAGATGGCAAGACTTAAAAATGAGGCAGCAATTCCAGCTTTACAGCCAGAAATAAAGTGTATAGGAAGCTGACTGAATCAGGTGTCAAATCCAAGAGGAAAGGTTCATTTTGCAGTGTGCTGCTGTAAGTACTAGGAGTCCGGTTGTACAACTGAAAGTAATTTGATGTTCATGTTTGGGAAATAGTCCTAGGTAATACCCAAATAGAAATGGGTCAATGTTTGTGCATAAAGCTCACTTGGCTTGGCTGCCTCTCCTCCATGTAGAACCTGAACCACTGGTCAGTAATGCCAATGGTTAGACTTGGAAGAGGTCTCTCCATGAAGCAGTTGGGCTGAAGTAAGACTTTTCTCTGAGAGCAAGAAAGGAATAACGTGTGTAATGATAGCACAGGGGAGAGAAACCACAGAGGCTGTAACAACCTACTGCTTGCTGTTATGCAAACTAATGACAAATAGGGACACTGAGTTACACCACCCAAAGCCACGGTCCTTCTGTCATTTTGCACACCTGTCAGAGTCTCTAGATGAGCCTGCCAGTCTGACCTGTCAATTTCTTTTTTTTTTTCCCTTTTCCTTGGGCTTGTTTAGCCCTTCTGAACTGTACAGAAAATGACTTCAGTGTATGCTGGATCAGGCCTCAGATTCTCAATAAAATAGTGTTATGCACCTAGGTTAAGCAGCTCCTAAGGGGAAAGTAACAGATGCCAGGATTGTAACAGAAAGGAGCTTTTGAAGAAAAAGTTGTGAAACAGACCTATTAGCAACTGGTACTTCCAGGGCTGAAAGCCACCTTGATGGTGGGGGGACAGGAACAGCACATCGGGTGACGTGAACCACGCTCTGCACTGCTTGTTGTTCATGGGTGGGCAGGGAGAACAAGTGCCAAACTCATGTCTGTTTTGTAGCATGCAATGTGGATCTTGATATAGTTGTCTTGATTATTTGGAAATATTTACTTCACAACTAAATGCAAGACCTAGCGGTTACTTATCTTGTCTGGGAGCAATGTTTTGGTGGTCACTGTTGTACAACAGTAGCCTCCAGATAGAATCATAAAAAGTAAAATTGAACTAACATGCATGATTGCATGTTCTTATAGTAATTGTGATAGTAGTGATTGCAATTTCTTATAGTAATGGTTAATAACTGCAGAGCAAAGCAATCAGATTTAGGTAACACCAGAATTAAATTTGACCATTCAGCTTTAATTTAGCACACTTATGCATATGCTTCATACTAATATAAATTTCATGATCGCCTTATAGTTTTCCTGTATGATCCAGGAGTTACTCTGAATACAGAATGAATGGTGTTTATGGGATAAGTTACTATTCAATAGTTTGTTTCATTTCCATTATTTGGTCTGTGAAATTTTAATTTACTTTGATCAATAGGATGTATTGCAACTGCACTTGCCTTATGAAAACTTGGCAATTTTACCTATAAATAGTTTTACGTTTTGTTATGGTATTTTCAGAATGTTTCTGCAATTAGGATGCATGCAGAAATGTTGTAAACTCTGTGAAAGTGCACAATAATCACAACATTAATTGCTGTGCTTCTAATAGGACCCATTAAAGTGCTGTCAACACCACATTAATCAACAAAGACCCTTTCTCAAGTCACTTGAGTGTCCCTCCATGGCACTGCCAGGTTTTGTTTTCATCACTGTTGTTGCATTTCATCAAATGCAGTGTGAATCACCACTAAACAAAACTTTTTGCAGACTTCTGGTTTTCTTGAATCCTAATGTGAAACAACATCAAGTCCCAAGGCATGCAGGTTTACATCTCAGAGCCTTTTGCTTTGTGGTAGAGGTGCACAGTAAGTACAGCGCAGAGCATGATAGCAAAAGAATAACTGTATTAGTGCAGTCAGCCTTAAGTCTTATCAAGTTAAATTCTGAGGAATAGGATACATTAGCTTAGCAGAATTGCATACTAATCTGATAGCACTGCCTGTGGCCCTTAATCAGATCACCTGAATGTCCCTCCATGGTTTTGCCCTGGGTTAAATAGCACGTATCCTCTAACAGTGCTACTGGCAATCTCAGTAAGGACCAGAAAGTGCAACAGAGAATTTCAGTTCTCACACACTGTGACTGAAACATGTGGTACAGTTGTACTCCTGTCTGTACTTTTTTCATGATTGCAGACCCTGACAGACCACAGTAACTTTCAACAACACAACTTCTTTTGTCTTTATTGCTTACTGAGTTGGAGAAAGCATCTGGGATGAAAACAGGCTCATTCTCTCAGGTAGCAGAAAATGAAGGTTAAATAATGATTCCCAAAGAGGAAGATAAAGCTTTTAATAATGGTCCATATCCTAGGAAAAAGTCTTTGATGCAGATGACTACGTACTTTGCTGATGCTTCCCTTTTCCTTAAATTATCATACAAGGTGACATCCCAGATTGTACTTTCCCGGTTTCAAAATTTTGGGCAGTTCTGGAAGCTTATGTGCTCTTCTTTATGCTTGAATGGAAAAATGGTGAGAAACAAGTTAGAAGAGACCTGTAAGGGCAAAGGAACTTGTAAGTACAAGATGAGTCACGAATGCTCTGTGTTTTGATGGAAACCTACAGAGAACTAGGGCAGAGCATCTCACAAACTGGGGATTTAGCTGCCGAGTTAAAAATAAAACCAAAACTAAACCAGTCCTCTGGTACATAAAGCAATCCTGGGCCCCATGAAGCACTGGAATCTAGGAGGTTTAGGATTACATAGGTTTTTTCACCCATAAGGAAATTTAATCCCTGTCACCAATAGTAGATAGATCTTATGAAATACAGCTATATTAAATTATAGATATGTATAAAATAATGAGATTAGGAGTGTCAAACTTTTCTTTGCAAATTCCATACATCTGTACATTTTTTTCTGTAGCCGAAGGAAAAACATGACAAGACATTACTGGAATGTGGTCATTAAAAAAATAAAATGAAGCCACTGTACATAACCATTTGCATTTTTTGTAAGATTTGGTGGCAATAGATGCACCAAAAGCCACCAGTGTTTCACACCCAGGTCATTCTGACTCACAGGTAATTTACATTCCACTCACAGTGCTTTTCAATAAACAGCAACTCTGATCTATAATATAGTCAGTTCTAACAAGATGGATTTCTAAAGGTTTATCCATCTAGCTAAAATGAACCTCAGTCATCTTTGTGCACAAAACACCCACATAGGCTATTTGTCTTGGACGGGCATGTTTGGCAAAAAGCCTGACTTAAGCCCTGAGCATGAAAGCTTAGTGAAGAATGCTGCCATTCACAGGGGGGTTTGATGTCCAGGACTGACCCCACCCTCTGTACTTAGCTCTGAGCTTCTTGGCAAAGGCAGAGAAACCACAAGACAAGTTTTATCATCTGGTAAACCTGTCACTTGAAAATGACTTCACTAGAATAATTCAACAATTACAGTACATTTTAATTAGGTGTATACCACATAATCACAGCTTTTTTTTTTTTTTTTTTTTTTTTTTTTTTTTTTTTTTTTTTAGTATATTGAGTTTCAGAGGGAAAAAAGAAACAGGAAAAAAACCTAACAAAATTCTAACCCAGTGCTATCCACTGTAAGAGCTTTAGGACCAACCTCTTGTAGCATTGGTCTGGCATCTGGCCTCCCACAACTGCTGATTTAGGCTATTGGAAAATGTGATTGGACTGTGAGTTGGGTAGGCATTTACAGATGGAGTGATCTGATCACCACTGTGTCCTCTGTTACAGAATAAAAAGAAGGCTGACACAACTGAAAGAGGAGCAAGATAGCAAAATAGGCAGCTTGCAATGGCAGAGCTTATTCCCAGTTCAGGGATGGGGCAATACTGACATATGGATGCAGCAGAGGAAACTCATACAACAGAGGAGAATGTCTAGCCTGGTGGGTTGTACCTGCCTCAGACAGCTATCTGATGAGTCTGTCTTTTTCTTATATTTTGGCAAGACTTACTTAGCCTGTCTTGCCAGTAAATTCTCATCTAATTGAATTGACAAGCATGGACACTTTTAAATTAAAACTTCCAATCTGCCCCAAATTCAACTTTTCTTTTTTTTATGTAGTGTAGTGTCTACCTTATGAGTTAATATATTGAGTCACAGTCACTGAAGAAGAGAGCTGATAAAATATCTTTGCTCTGCAGTGAGTAAATCTTTGATCTTTTTAGTCATTTTTTCTGGTAATGTGCTGGCGTTAAGCCCTTCATGTTTTGTTTGGCATGAATGGCACCTTTCATTATTATTCTCATCTCTAATTCTTCCCTCAACTTTGGGCAGTGAATTCCTGGCTGTGAGTTTCTCCCATGCATTGTTATCTCATTTGCTGATCATGAATCACCAAGATAAAGTGCTACGAGGTTTGATATGTCCTGCTATCCTGCTAGCTGCTGGTCAGCCTAAAATCTTTTAAATTTGATGGCAGTGAAGGCTTCGACATCCTTCTACAATTGTCAGTATGAAGTTATAAAATAGTAATTATAATTAGATAATTAAGGATGAGTTATAATGGAGTTTTTTGAAACACCTCTGTCACTTCCTCTCTTTTCCTCCTTGTTGTATAGGCATTTGTAAAAAGCCTTACATTCTACAGTTTTATATTACATGTAAAATGAATTTACAGTTTATGCTTCTATTTCTGTATTTTAGAAATTTATATTTTCAAAATGCATGCCTGCATGCATGTTATTCATTAAGACACCTTCTGGAGAGATTAGACTCTATTATGTTAGTGTAGAGGAAATCCCAAGTGTTCCTTGGGATTGATGGAATGCACATCCAAACTGATGTTCATGCTCAGATCTCTGAGATACAATCATCAACAAGAGATTATGAGGAGTACTGATGTGCAAGAAGATTGTATTTGCATATTTTGTGCTTGCACA